ACGTACATATTTGTGGAGGAAGGGTCGCGGATTATTCCTTCATCCATAATGTTTCACCTTGGAACGTTGAAATAATACGACTTGCGATAAGTACGTGTTTCGTTACTCGTTACCGCGACACACGTTGATCAAATTACACCGAGATTGCATCTCTATGCGTGTTATGATAAATTTGTGCTCCGAGAGCGCGTCTGGTAATTTTGTTAATTAATCTCATAAGCAACGACAGGATTAGGATGAAGACAATATCTAAAATTATCTTGTGGATGAAGACATCGGTTGATTAGAGGACAAATTAAGAAAAGACAGTGCATTAACACTGAGAGAAATGATTTTGTTATAGGAACAAATCAAGGGAAAGCAAATGTGATATTTGTTTAAAAAACGATCGATTTGTTACGATTGCAAATTAATTCGTCAATGTAACAAATAATCAATAGTATCGCTAGCAAATAAGAGGCTCATGTATATATATATAAGTCGTAGATGTTGCAGGGTCTTAAATCGTAAGAAATTGACTAATTCTAGTCAAGTATTCTCCCTATATTTGACTGTGCTTGGTCGGTTTCCTACGATTTAAGACTCCACGATCATCTACGAATTCTATGTAAACGAGCTAAAGTCTATCCAAAAGATGGGTTAGATTCTATATAGTTTGTTTCTGTTACTAATAATTGGTATAGTAGATTAACAGCAATCATAATTTGTTGTCACATATTTACCGATCACCGGTTAAAGGTACTGGTTGCTTGCTAAATTAACAGATGATCCTTTCTCTCAGTGAATGCGATATGCTACGTTCATATAATGCAAACGGCATAAGAAATTATACGTATACGTGCAGTTAATTTTCTTAGTATCAAGTTAATATACACGTCTGTTTTCTATCGATATAGAGTATCGATCTGCCTACTTAAATTAATGTTTCCTCGGCGCAACGAACGGTTTTCCGTTACGAAAGTTACGCGGTGAAGCAGGCCGAAATTAACGATAAGTTATTATAATATGCTATTTCGTAGGCGGGTTGCGAGAGTTGTGGTACTTTAGAGCGCCAAAGTAAACTCGGTCCTGGTGCTAGGATCTTCCCGTATCGGACCAACCAGAGTTTACTTCCAGAGTTCGGAGTTTCGTAATTTGCTGTTGGTGGGTCGAGACGTCGCATTATTGTGTACGCCGCAGTTGTAATAATCTCTGTCCTAATTACTACGCTATGATAAAATAAGATTCCACTCCGGAATTGAAAACGCTTTGAAATGGGGAGTTTCTTGATTACATTCGCGTAAGTAGAACACCCCCGTTGTTCGCACTTCGTTAGCTGTCATTTATATCTTTCTTATTAAAGTAAAAATGTTAAAAGCCGAAACTAAATTCTCACCGAAGAATATACGAAGAGCGAAGTGCTTTTTTTGCAGCTTCCGACCACGTAACCACGTGGCAATGAGTTCTCGAATAAATGCATGTGAGCAAACGTGACTTTTCAGACGCCGTGGATCGCTCACATTTTCTAACGATAATGCGAAAACTTGTTCGCATAGAAGAATGCTTCGCGACGAAAATTTTGCATATCGCGCCGCCGTTATACTTGTTACACGAATAGTATGCGCCAAGATTTCCACGTGGTTTGCATTTTGTCGAAATTTATGAGACTGGTTTACGGGCGTTGGGATAGCAATTGATTTGAATATCGAGTTTTCTTAATCGTTCTCCGTCGCGATTCTCAGACTGGCGAAATCTTCTCAACGATCGCAGCAAGAATACTTTCAATATCGTAGCGCATAAAGTACATCATGAATTATTTCTCTCTCTCTCTCTCTCTCTCTCTCTCTCTCCTATCACTATTTAATTCACTGCACCTCTATTAAAATTGCGAATTGATTTTCCGTATTTTTCAACCGCAATATGAAGTTCAAATAGTATAATCTATCTTCTTTTATTAATATTTATTAATTTTTCTAATTATTTTTTAATTGTATTTTAAATCAGATGTCATTTATATTACATTATAATTTAAAGAAATATACCAAAGAAAACTGCTTCCATATAATTGAAAACGGAAATGAATAATTTAAAATATTAACAATTTATGATTCTAATTTTGAACTATAAAAAGGCATTGTTTCCAACGACACGATGGATTCAATTAAACATATTGTATTTCTTAAACCGATTTTATTTTAAAGTAATTGAAATTAGTTTAATTATATCTCGACGTAAGCTATCATTAGAATCTGCTACACTCTGTGATTCGTAGTTTCAATCCCTTTTCTGATTTTCCCTTATTAGCAGGCACTGATCCTTCAAATTAATTCTGCTTTAATATAATGTAATAGTCCATTGCTTTTGCGCGCTTTTACTGCATGAATCGTTACGTTTAATTTCCGAGAGCGTCGCATCACGATCCTGTTCCACTGTTCCTTCATCTTCTGTTATTGTAGCAGTCGAGAGAACCGATTCACTCGACGGCAGAAACAGTCACAGCTGCGCCGACAGTTCGCTGCCGTATCTCTCGTTTGCCAGTTGCACACTTTGCATTATTTCTCGCTCTTTTTCCCCACGAAATGCATATTATCCGGCATGCTTATCCGGCCGATTGCTTTCACGTTTTCAATCATTTCTAAATACTCTTGTCTCTTTTTCCTTCTTTATTTCCTTTCTCTTTCTTCTCTTTTGAGAAAATCTACGCGCAGACCGGTATATCTCGTGAAGTTTAATAAAATGGGAGTAGAGATACTGTTTTTATCTCACGATACGATGTGAAGTAATAGAGAATTTTTGGTATCTGTCCGTGGTGTTACAGTCGGCGTGGCTGGAATTGCAACGGGTATCGAATCATAATCGGATGAGGGACGTAACTCGCGATTAACGAACACGAAAATTGGCACGGATGAACAGCGCTTTTCGAATATTGTCAACGGATTGCAACGCTGTCCGCTCGATTTCGTGCAGACACGAGTACGGCAATAACATACGGACCGTCGGATGGCTGAATTTATTCCTGTTATGAATTCGTTGCGCGATGCATTTCGGTACGGTATGATCTCCGAGCGGCATATTTTGTACAATAATCGAATTACCGATTCTGACTTCCTTCCTTTTGCTTTGCAATGCATCGCGAAGCTAACTCGCGAGACTTGCAGCCAACGATGCAGCTTGCATTGTGAAGAATGAGAGCCGCACGAGAGCATCAGAACCGAATCATCAATGATGCACGGCTCTTTTCCCTCGTGACATCGCTGCGCTTTGGCGTACTGCCAATCTCCGTTGCCACGGTGTTCCTTTCTTGCGAACCTTCGTAGCAATTTTCCATCCTTGCGATCGCAATATATGTCACGGGCACGGCAAACTCCATTGCTTCGCCTTTCGAGATTCTTGTACAATAAATGATTTAAAAATCGTATTAATATTCATAAAGTTTCCGAAAAGAGGTTAAACATTAATATAGAATATATCATTATAACAAAAATGTTTATCTCTATCTTTTTTAAATTTTACATTGTATGTGAATTTATAAAAAGAGAATAAAAAAATAAAATGAGAAATAGATTATGTCTTTTTAATATTTTATTTTAAAGAATCATCTTATAATAAAAAGTTATAAAAACTTGTAATATATATTAGCATCAGAATGGTTGTCATTAATTTTATTTAAATAGAGTACTATATAAACTAATTGAACAATATAAAATTAATTATCCGGCGATTGATCGATAGTGAAATTCACATGTGTGAAAGTACATGTGACACAAACTCGACCTAAACTCGACCGTAAGGCCTCACATAAATCAGTATTATCTCGCATTAATGCGCTACTAGTGCGGTGGTAATGTTCATAGATACGCTTGTAATGAACACACTACGCATCCTGTACGTTAATCCACGTAAAGAATATCTCATTTGTGTTATCAGTTGCGCAAATCAATATATCAATATACATATATATATATATATCTACATATTATATATATATTACATAAATTATGTGTTATATACAGAGTATCATAACTGTTGCATTTCTTCTTAAAAACGTATTCTTGAGATAATTTTGAGACGGAAGATCTTATATGAAAATGTCGAGACTACAATAATTTTTTTCAATTGTAAGCTAATTTTAAATGCTTATAAGTAAAGAACTATTTTACTTTTATAACCTCTACTATTATTTCTGGATTCTTTTGAACATTCTAAGACGAAAATCCTTATACGAAAATATCGAGGCTATAATGGTTTTTGAATTACAAACTATCTTTAACCAATTATAATTAAAAAACTATTGTAGGCTTGACATTTTTGTCTCAAAATTACCTCAGGATACTTCTTAAGAGGAAATGCGGTAGTTGTGAGACACCCTATACATGTGTACACATATATATATAAAATATACATATGTATATATGATAATGGGGTCTGTAACACGAATAAATATAGCAAGAATTGAAATTGCTTGAATTGGTTTAATTTTAATTCTTGTTAGATATACACATGTATTTATATACATACGTATGTAAAGATATAATAAAATTGTTTACCTGAGCAATAAAACTACTTATTAACCGAAAACTTTTGGCAGCCACTTACACATATATACACTGTTAAAAGTTTCATGAAATTTAATGTACTTTTAAGTTCCACAATTTGAATTTAATTTCATGACATTACATTAAATTTAATGTATTTATAACTGAAAAATATATTTGTGTGCATGAAATTTAATGCATTTTTCATGAAACTTTATAAAATTTAATGTACTTCTCATAAAATTTTATAAAATTTAATGTACACGTTCATTATATTTAAGTAACTACTATAACTTAGTTTTCTGTTAAATTATTCATTACTTTTAATTTTGTTCACAACCACGAGCTTCATTTATATGTAAAGGAAAGCATTTCTAACATGTATCCATGCAGACATGTATGATGTATGTGCGCGTGTGTGTGTTTATCCTTATGATTAGGCATATATATTTTTATGTCGTAATTACATAAGTTTTTTTTTTCCAGATATTGCTGCAAGCTGCGAAGTTTCCGATAGTTTTCTGTCCAATTCCAGGCGGATACAGAAAGTAAGACATACATTATATATTACACTATATATAAAATTGCATTTTTACAGTTTTGTAATGAGTTTAAAAAATCGCATCTACAGAGTGTCCCGAAATTCGCGATTCAAAATATTAAAAAAAGATTTTCAAAAAATTAAGTAAAAAAGTTTTGTGTAAATTTTTTTATTTCAAGCAATACTTTTTGAGATAAAAGGGTTTAAATATAGCTAATTACCGATTACATTCAGACGGCCATCTGTCCATGAATCGCATGTGTGGTAATAAATAGACTACATATATTTAAGCGCGCACTTGAGCGTTCAAACGTAGTCCATATCTAATCGTAATCCGTAATTGGTCATATTTAAACTACTGATCGTTATTTCGTAAACTATTGCGTAAAATAAAAATTTACGAATAACTTTTTTTACTTAATTTATTAAAAACTTCTTTACTGTAGAGTATTTTGATTCGCAACATCCTTTCCATCCTTTCGGAACATCCTGTATATGTAGGTATTAACAGAGAGGCTAGCTTTGATGAACTTATGCTGTGGAAGCTGCGAGCTTTCACATTGAACTATTTGGCGTGCGCTAGAGGTACTTTAGTCGAAAATATCTTTGTGCGATCCAATACTTGCGTGAGTCGATATATCGATAGCTACATATTTATTTAGCAAATTTTTTGCAAGAGTATGTAATATACGCGTCTCTAGCGTAGGGCTCTCTCGTTTCTCGGTCCGGCGAAATAAATATTGGCTTTCGGCGACAAACGGGAGATACGCCGTCAATTCGAGTATCTATCGAACAATATTTATTTAGAGTATCGATTTTGTTATAGAATATTGGCTTTCTCGGCAGTAGCGATCGGATTTTATCGCTTTTCTCTTCTCTCTTTTCTCTACATCGCCGTCGGTGTTCATGAATCATGAACTTCCTTTGCTACTCTAAAACTTATGTATATACGAGATGAATAGTTAATATTACATAGTAACGAGAAAGTTCCCGAAATGATAGCGGGTGATATTCGTAAAATCGGTTATACGTATTGTTCATGTTATGTCAAACAGTATTGATACGACGTTCATGCAAATGCGTTCCTAGCAACGCGACGTGATTAATGTGGACACAATTCGTATCGAACGTGGAAATAATAGACTGTTATTCTTGGTAGTTATTCAGTGATTGTCAATTATTCACTTGTATCTTATTATTTCTAAGTATAATACATAATATTTCTAGAATGTTATACATTGAGAAAAAAATTTCCTTTATTTTAGTGAATATATTTACTAAAATTAAAGAAATATAAGATTAAATTCATTTAATTTGAATAAATATATATATATATATATATTAATCAAACTATAAAACTTCTTCTTTCTCAGTTATAGTAAATGAAAGCATTGAGATTAGAAAATGACTTGTTGATAAATTTTAAAGTTAAAGCTTCAAAATAAAAATAAGTAAAGTATATTTTTTGACAATATATAATTTTGTTTAATTTTGTATAACTTGTAATACAGAATGTAAGAATAATCCAAAATTTACACTTTATCATTTTATGTGGAAAATTAATAATTGGTAGAAAGTAGAAATTGTAATTTAATACATATTAATTATGTTGTATTAAATTTTACAAGTCAAGAATAATTTTCTTTTAATAGAATTTGTTTGAAATAAATAAATATAATTGGAAATTATTAAAAAATAATTAAATTTCGATAGTCGTTGATTGAAAAAAAATTAATAAATGATTGTCTTTATAAGAGAATAATATTCTTCTGATAAATCTGTACAACTACTTATTTAAAAAAAAATGTGTTCACAGTTGTATACAAACGCATGATTTATTAAAATTAAAGAAATTTTTTTGTTTTTTTAGTATATTTTTTCTCAGCGTATATTACTTATCGTTTTTAATATTCAATTATTCTAAGAATATTGTCTTATAGGGCAACGTTGATAATCTATAAAATCATACAGCTAAATTTCAAGCGCAGCACTGAAATCGGTGTTTAAATCAACGCTCTTCTAATACGGTACATTTCACAGTGTACGTAGTTTTGTAGTCCTGTGTTTACTCTCAGTCGGTCTACTTTGTTACTGACAGTTCAACACGTACCGCAACTACACCTATTGTATACTACACCACGTGTATCATTTGAACGTGTCTAGTGCAACATTTTCCCGGCTTGATGCTCCGTACGTGCAGCACACTCGCTTTACAGTCAAGTCGACTATGTTTTCTACTGTTCCGTAACGTCACCGGCGGCGATGTAGAAGGCATCGAACAGGCTATATTTCACTGTCTCTCGATGCTTTCAATTAACAATATTTATTCGTACAGTGGAAACAGTTTAGTTTGATTATAACGCGTTGCATCGCCTACACACACACGCACACACATACGTGTACACACACACACACACACACACACACACACACACACACACACACACACACACACACACACACACACACACACACACACACACACACACACACACACACTATATCGTGATCTATGCATCTAAATCTTACATCCTCTTTGTAAGTGCAGAAATCTGATTCACGTCCCTGACTGGTTGCTTTAAGCAGTTTAATGCTTTCTACCCAAGCTGTCACGGTTGCAACAATGTGGCCGAAATCAGCTTACGTTCACCGCATAAACTCACTGGACCGCAGGATCGATTCTGTCAATTAATCAAGCCGCTAGCTACGAGCGGTGATCTTAACCATGATCGATATCCTCTCGTGTTTCGTCCCTGCTTGACGCGTGTGAGATTGATTTTATTTCTCGACTGCACGTGATCCAATTTTGATGAATATCTCTCGGCGAATGATGGCCGCGGCGCCACCTCGACTTCATGTCGACTCCGGAAGTAATTTTAAATTAAAGATTCATCGCACTTGGTTTAATAAAGCTTAATGCACAGACTGTGTTGACAGCAACAAGTGCAAATTGCGTCGCCACGTATTACTGCGGCGACGACACGACCTATCCTCCGTTTGCCATTGTAATAATTCTCGAGTCCTTTCGCCAACTCCGCCTTTATCCATCTTTGTCGCGCTTGCACTAGTATTTTCAGCGAGCATACGACTGTGGGATTTTCATGTAGCTTTGAGCACACGCGGGACACCCAGGGGCCGACGGCACGTTTCATCGCCGTTGAAGTCGCCAGCGTTGTCGTTTTCGTCTTCTTAACGGTAGTCTCCTTAACCCGCGGGGCACGCTTAACCGCCAGCGAAGCTACGATAAAATAGCGCATTTTGAACGTTCTTATTCCCTTCTTCGTATTTTGCCTCTCCTCGGGCTTTTCTTTCCCGTCTTCTTTTTCTTCTTTCTTCGCCCGCTTTGTTGGTCGCAAAGGCGTCGAACCGCGTGAAGAGGTTTAGCGGCGAGATAACGACAAGCAAAGTGGAAGTTTAAATGGACGTCGGAAGATGCAAAGGATACGGTCCACCAGAAAGGCAATGCTGGCTTGAACCTCAGAGGCTCAGCCGAATCTCGAAGCGGGCCGACGCGCGAGATATTTATTTCGCTACGAACGTGAACGTAGCTTTTAGGAGATTGCATTCTGTTTGTTGCCCGAATTTATTGACTTTGATCCTGGCTGTGGCATTTTTCCGCTTATCCTCCACGTTGGTGAGCATGCGCAAGTGCACGAACGTAAATGTGTAAGTCGAGGTATAAAGCGCTGATGAAAAATTTCATGACGAAAAATTCCATAATACATACCTTGCATGCATTTATATCAGTAATTTTCACGATAAATCAAAGTCCGAAACACTTTAGCTCTTCAACATATGCACATGTGAAAAAGTAATCGAAATAATAATAAACAGCACTCTCAAAGATTGACGAGACTTCTGACGTCTTTATGACCTGTATTTATAGTCACGTTTCTGCTGAAGAACTCGGCTAAAACCTGTTTGAATACGAGTTATAGTTTGATAAATGGATCTCAAGAGTCAAAGTGATATTTTTAATCACAATTTAACTAAGAAACTCCAAGTTTTATTTTGAAACACAGCCCTGCTTTGCTTTTCGCGATTCAATATTAATTAAGAGAGGATTACGTATACATTGTATCAATAGTTTATAAATCTCATATAATCTCAATTAAATGTAGGAAAAATTGCGTAAAGTAAAAAAGTAAAATATAATTGAAAAAGAAATTGTGCTTAAACAATTTTATAATAGTTTAAATATTCGGCTCAGAAATAGAACGATTTCTCACCAATAATAAAAAGACCGGATTTGAAATCCAATCTTTAAAAACATAAAATTTTCCAAGTATTATAATTAAGAAAGACTAACAGAATATTATTCTCTTTTACAATTTTTTGCACTCTAAATGATGATGTTGGACAATCATTTCCTTGTATTGTGTATGTTGTTTATTGAAATAGCACAGCACGTACTTTTATTGTGGACATACCAACGAGATGGACATATTGGCAGTATTAAATCTAACGTTTTAATCAATTTAATTTAATCTATTTAATGAATAAATTTTTTGCTTTGATTGTAAAAAATAAATTAGATAAAGTTCCGGAAACCTTTGATTTTGATGAAACTTTATTCATTAAAAGCTTTATTTCGGATTAAAATAAAAGTCTTCAAAAGGATTTTGGCGATTTCTATGACAAAGCCATTTTAAATAGTTTAAAAAATATGGTAAATGTTTACATTAATGACAATTTCCGATTTTAATGATTTTAAAGTATATAGTAAAAGGAATAGATTATAGAATTCTCTTAATCCGAATGTAAGAGATGTGAAACTGTGTAACTATTCTCATTTCGCGTTGTAAGCAAGGGGGCGGTGTGAGGTGGACTTCGCTTCACGTAGAAACTTGGAAACTCGTGTGAATCCTTCCTTTAATATACTTCATTGAAATCGGTGTGTGTGTGAGATTTCGTCAGTAATATAAACATTTATTAATCTTATCATTTTATCTTAAAAAATAGTTTCGTCATATAGAAGTCGTTGCTTTATCGATTTAATAAGACTTA